ATGTGTGTGTGTGTGTGTGCGCTTGCATGCATGCCCATGTGTGTCAGTATCCATACTTTATGATATAATAAATTAATAATGGTGGTTTCTGATTTTGTAAGTTTGTGCTCAAAGTAATTGTTTTTTTTTTCTGGCATAGTAATTTCTCCTCCTTTGCCTGCGTGTCTGCTCTCGTCCCTATCCTTTCTTTCTCCACTCTCCCTTTTTCCCTCTTCCTTGGTTTTGTCCTGCCCTAGTGCTTCTCTTTGATGCAGAAAAGCATGTGTGTCATTTTGCACCAAAAGATTGGGATTGGAAAATGCAACTGTATCACAAGAGAGCCATGCTGCTCAGCCAGTGGGAAGGCAACCGTGTTTCTCTTTCTGTTTTTTATTGTTTCAATTTGATTTGGCCTTTGTTTTTCACCTCTACCATGATGCATCAGCAGATGGCACGCTACTGCAGGAATGTAGGATGGTGGCCCCTCGTAGGCCTATGAGAATAGCCACCAAATTTTGACAGGACGACGGCTACGCAGCCGGCAAAGAGCAATTGAGGAGAGGAGGAGTTCTCCTCACCTGCTCAGACAGAGAAAAGGCAGACTGAGAAGGAGACATGAAGTTAGGGGCAGATGGGGCTCTCAACACTGTGACCAATGACCATTCCTCCGACGCTTGGGCCTGTCTACATGGAGGCTGTGCTTTCGATGTACTAGCCTGCCTGTGGCTGGTCTAATGGAAAATCTCTCTGCAGGATGGACTCGGTCATCTGGTACTGGTAGTTTGATTCACTGTGGAGCTATGTTACCTTAGTGGCCAGGGACCAGTTGCCTGGCCCGGCCAAAAATGTTAAAAAAAAGCGAGTATTTTACTATTTTAGTACTTTTTTATTTTCAAATTGGTAGGGAATTTCGATCCAACCCAGAGGCTGTAATGAACCCAGTCTGGAAGGGAACTCGTCGATGTCAAAATAGTAAAATACAAGATTTTTTTTATTTTTATTTTTTTAGAAAAAATATTCGTATACAAGATATCTCAGCGCTTGTCAAAGTCTCCAATAATCATGAAATGTGATCTGAAGTACAATGTCTCGTAACCAAAGGACGAAGCTGATAGGAGGGAGATAAGACTTAGAGGGTGGAAGAGGAAGTATCCATCAATGTCATCGTACATAGATCTCCCTCATACCCCACTCCTCCTTCGGGCATCTCCCCTCTTCCACGTCAGTAAACAGGATCCCAGAGATGAGTCCGACAAGATCTGATCACAGCATAGTGCCACGTAGGCACAGATCTCCCATGAAGATGTCAGAGCAGTGCGCAATGTCGACAGCATCAATCAGGTAAGTTTCCCTCTCTCTCTCTCCCAACCAATCTCACAGCCCTGATCTCCCTCCTCGTCGATACCCCAATCTGTGTCGAAGACAGTGTGGCGAACACCATGTCAGCGATCAGGTATACAGCTGGCGCCAGGAGCAGAGAGGCCCCAGCACGCAATGCAGCAGTCTTGCGTCGTCGTCGCACACAATGCCAACATAGTGCCAGCGTCAAGCCAGCGTCCAGCCAGCGTCGTGCCAGCATCGTGCCAGCGTCGTGCCAGCATCGTGCCAGCGTCGTGCCAGCATCGAGCAGCAAGTGCAAGCCTGAATGTCGACCAACAGGGGCTGGGTCAATAAGTTGTGTTGACGGAGTAGACCAACCTCTGGTCTTCCAGGTACGAAGGCTCAGATTGACTCACAGCCGATGGCCTGGATCGCATACGGTTGCAGACCTCCACTTGGACCAGATTCTTCCTGGATACCTGCGTACAGCCAAGTGTGTGTGTCTGATCGGTGGCCTGGACTGGGTCTGTGCAGACTTTGACTCGTGAGCCTCATTTTTCCGATTTACAGTTGACTTGAGTCAACTGTCGGGCTCTGAAGCCACATTTCGGGCGTGGTTGGGATACGGTCTGGCGCAGGGCCTTGCTGCGCCTGTGGGTGGCCCTTAGCCGACGTCAATAGCATATTTTGAGTGGGTTATTCCAAGGCAAATGTTGTTCAGGTTGTTCACTTTATTTTTCTGCACAGCATAGTGTTTTTTTTTTTGTTTTTTTTTTAAACAGCGACCTTCCTTGGCTCTTGCCCTGGTGGGATTCTGAGGAGGTTTAATATCCACTGGTGCTCCTATTGCTGGGCTCGTGAGATTGTTGTGTCCATATATGTTCATAATAATAGTAACTGGAAAAAAAAAAAGAAAAAAAAAAGTAACTGGAAAAGAAACAGTACAGAGAGGCTCAGACGGACTGGCAGTTAATGCATGTGTGTTGTGGATTTTCACCACCGTGACCTCAGCCCCTGTTCCACCCAGATGAGTACATCCAATATTGATGCAGCTCTACCTGAGATGAGCCATTCCGGCAATGAAACAGTTTAAACCTCTTTAGCAAGCAACATCGAGCGGAATAGATCCATTGTTTCTTTTTTTTTAACCGCTAGTAGATGCCCCCCCCCCCGCCCTTGTGCAGAAATTGTTTGTCACCTACTCGAAAAAGTCGGAGTCGGCGCGCCATTGATAAATTCCATCGATGGCCCGCGTCACGTTCCGGGCATCCGAAACTCATGGTGAGGCTCCCGTGGCCGATGTATGGTCGTGACTGGTGGTTTAAGTATCTTTTACTGTGGTTCTCGTCTGGGTATTGACTGTCTTTACTTTGGCTTTCTTTGGGGTACCCCTCCTATTTATTCTTACAGCTCCCTTTTTACTGTACCTCTCACGGCCACGTTGACTGTAGTTTTAGCGCCAGCTACCCACATGTCTGTGTGCCTTAACCGCCCACTTGCGGGTTATAAGAGGAGGCAGAGTAAAGGGGAAGGTATACTTCTGTTCATTTTTCTTCAGATCCTCAGCTCATATTTTGTCTGTTCTCGTAATGATGCTCATTTGTATGCATTTACTAGTAGTACATTATAGGAGGGAGGGAGGAAAGGGGTAGGGGGTGGATTTCTGTTGGAAGGGAGGGGTGGGGGAGGGAGAAGGGGTAGAGGAGGGAAACGGAGAGGCAAAGAACAGAATAGAGGAAAGATGAACTTTCACAAGGTTGAGTACTCACTGCTGGAGCAGACTACTCTGGAATAACACGGGCGGCCAGTCAGTGTTTGGGTTCCAGGAGATTTTGAGTTGAGGAGCTGCCATTGGCTATGATAAGTGGCCACCCCTGCAGACTGGACAGGACCGCTTTGGGTGTGGGGACTGTGGAAGCACCACATCCAATACTTGCAGCAGCAAGTTGCTGCATCGAATGACAATCCATGTAATCGACCCACCCCCTCTGTATCCATGCTCTGCTAATGAAGAGGCTGCGTCGGTCTGCTGACGTCTTGAGTTATTATTGAAGGTGAGTCGGGAGATCAGTGAGGCCGAGTTAAGATCCAGGGTAGGTGGACCTCGGAGGGAGAGCATCGATGGTCGAAGGGTGTCGATGAGGAGTGACGATGTGGTTTGCACGACGTGGGCCCCTTGGGCCCATAGTAGGTAAGAGGGTTAGCCACAGGTTAGCGGTCGTTACTCCTCCCTTCCGAGCCTCAGCAGTCTCCTAGTAGCTAGAGTCAGCTCCTTCCCTCTAGCCCGCATGTATCTGACTGCATAGGAGGGCCGATGCAGGCCCAGTGGCCGTCAGTTAGGCTAGGATCAGTTCGGGGTGCCATTCTGGATTCTGCCACTTTCAGAATGGGTGCCATTCTGCATTTTGCCACTTTTTGAATGGGTGCCATATTTGCCACTTTCAGAATGGGCGCCATATTTGCCACTTTTCAGCTGGGCGCCATTCTGCATTTGGCCATTTTTTGAATGGGTGCCATATTTGCCACTTTCCAGCTGGGCGCCATTCCGCATTTTCCACTGCTTCCAGTTCAGAGGCTCACTAGAGCAGAGTAGGCCCAGCTGGGCCAGCCTCATTTCCGAACACGCACAGAGTTGGAGCTGGAGTTCTTCACGTTGCTGGGAAGCGCTGCTCCAGACACACACAGTTGGTGAAGGAGTAGTCGACGCGCTTGGCGCAGTAGCAGTAGACTTCGACGCTGGGTGCTTCTCATGTTGACGACACCAGCTTCGAGCTTGGGCTGCAGTACACTGCAGCGGGGTTTAGTGGAGTAGAGGACGAGGTGGAGACCAGGGGACTTACCTGTCGACTTACCTGTGATGCCATAGCTTCAGCTTCGTCCTCAGCATGTCTGTACCTGCATCAAGGCACCACCTTTCTGCAGGTCAGTATCTGGCTACATCAGAGACACACACACACAGAGAGAGAGAGAGAGAGAGAGAGAGAGAGAGAGAGAGAGAGAGAGAGAGAGAGAGAGAGAGAGAGAGAGAGAGAGAGTTGAGAGTTGAGATTCGGTGACACTGGACCACCAACCGACATTGGGCAGAGATAGTTGGGAGACTACGTGGAGACTTCACAAGTGATATTTGAGTTAGCGACGTCTCCATTCCTCATCCTTCGTCTCCTCCCCCTCCTCGTCATTTGTGGATGTTTGCTGGTCTGGCGCCCTCTCTGTGTATTGGGCGCCGGTTCTGGGTGGAAATTGATCTATTGATGGATTGATCGCATAGTTGCGTTGTCAGGGATTTCTTTTTCCGTTTTGTTCTTCTTTTGTGGTGTGCTGTGTGGTCGGCTCGACGCGATTGATTGATTGATAGAGACGTGTTGGCTTCCCTCCAGCCCTCCGGGTCGTAGTTAAGGAAATATGGCATGGATATGGTGCTGTGTGGTGGGCATGTTTAATTGATGGATTCATACCTCCTCCTACTCCTCCTCCTTTGCCTTGTCCTCCTCCTCGATGGTAGCCTCCTCCTTCTCATCTCCCCTGCGCCTCTTCCTCCATCATAGACTCCTTTTCCTACTCCTATATTGTAGGCAGCTCCTCCTGCTCATCCATTGCAGCCAACCTCTCCTCCTCCTCTTCCTCCTCCTCCTCCTTCGTAGCCACCTCCTCCTCCGCCGTACCCTCGTCCTCCTCCTTCGTCGCAGTGTCCTCCTCTATTGTAGCGTCGTCCTCATCTGCCCCCTTACCTCCTCCTCCACCTCCTCTTCGTCCACTGTAGTTTCCTGCTCCTCCTATCACCCAACCTTCTCTTTGTCCTCTTCCTCCTTCGTCTTGGCGTTCTATTGTAGCCTCCTCCCCTCCTCCATTGTAGCCTCCTCCTCCTCCTCCATCATAGCGCCCTCCTCCTTCATCCTCCACCCTCCTACTCATCCTCCTACCCTCCTCCTCCTCTCCTCTCCTCCTCCTCGACCTCCTCCTCGTCGAGGAGTGCAGAGGACGACCTTACAATGGAGGAGGACGAGGGTGTTGCGACGGAGGAGGACAAGGAGGCTACATCGGAGAAGGTGGTGGCTACGAAGGAGGAGGAGGAGGAGAGGTTGGCTGTGATGAGGAGCAGTAGGAGCTGCCTACTTTGTCGTAGCCTCCTGTAGCATCCTCGTCCTCCTCCATTGTAGCATCGTCCTCCTCTGCCCTCCTCCCTCCTCCTACATCAGAGTCTCCTCCTTCTCGTCCTCCACCGTAGTTCCTGCTCCTCATCTATCGCAGCCTTCTCTGCGTCCTCACCATCATCCATAAAAAACAAGTCATCGTCATCGTCCTCCTTCTCCATTGTCGTCGTTATCTGCGTTGTCGTCATCACTATCACTGTGGAGGTGGTCGAGTGTGCGTGCGCGCGCATGTGTGTGTGTGTGTGTGTGTGTGTTGTTGTATTCGCTATGTGTGTGTGTGTGTGTGTGTGTGTGTGTGTGTGTGCGTGTGTGTGCTTCGAGGCTGAGGATCTCCGCATGCTACATCCCACCATCTCCAAGTCTAGCCCACGGTAGGGCCGACCAGAAGGCAATGCTCCTGTGCAACACATTTTGGTAACTTAGTTGTCCCATATGCCACCCTCAACAACACCCTGAATGGAACTATTTTTGAAGGATTAATCACCAAAAGGGCACTTTTGTAACTTGTTGGGGCACTTGAGGCCTTGTTCGACACCACTTGAAAATACTTGAGTTTCAAGTGTGCCCGAACTTAGGGATGGTGATTAATTTTCCCCTAACTCGTTTTCTCCTTCCACATTGCATAACCCTTGAGTTTTTCGCACTTAAAACGCAAGCGCCAACGATTGCACTTTCGGACCCCTCCGCCATGACTTTAGATGTCCGATCACTCCCCTTGGCGGACAAGAAGTTGTCCAGGCCGGATCAGGCCCATGGGAACGGTGAACGCCAATGTGAATTCGTCGGTCTAGGCACTACCAGGCGTGCAGTGCAAGATGCTCGTGAAAATTCAGGCGTGGGCGCTCTATTCGAATTTCAAAATCCACCCGCAAACCTTTTGGGCGCCGTTGCCGCATTTCATATATCCGCGATGGAGGATCGGCCATCATCATTGTGGACGGTGTGCGCACCCATCTTCTATGTGTGTGAAGCGAGAAGTGCAATCCTCATTTGGTGGTTGAAGGCTCGACACATGGCGCAATTTTGCCTTGGGGTCCCTTGTGTGTTGTTCGTGGATAATGGAGCGGAGGGAAGGTCAAGGAGTGGAGGGCGAGGAACTGACGGTCCAAGAGAAGAGTCTGTAAGGAACGCCACTGCTTGTGGTTTGACGTCATCTTCAAACCGTTAACGGTATACGGCGAGGCATCAGCAGGCAAAGTGGCAGGAGGGAGGCCGCCACTGACAAGGCCTTGTTGGACGTGCAGTCCTCACCGATTGGGTGTTTGGTACGTGTCGTTCCTCCTCATTAACGCCATTGTCGTGGTTGTGCTGTCGAGGGAGACGCCGCGATAGTGGGTGAAGCGTAAAACAGGCGGCACATGGAAGAATCTAATCATCGCTAATGACACGACATAGGAGTACTTCCATGACAAACTATGCATGAGCAGGGTCGTCTTCAATGGCATTGTGCCCCCATGCTCTCCTTTCCTTCAGCGTAAATCACCCACTTCAGCGAGCCGCTCCAACCGGACCATATTGTTACATACGCGCTTTATAGATGGGTGATGGGGAAGACTTTCGAGAATAACACTTCTGCATTTCGGATTGGGAGGGTGAGCGACGTCAATGGTGTTCGAGACGTCAAGAACGCCAACCTCGTCGCCTACCTGTCCACAATGGCAGACGTCTTCTCCAGGCTGTGAGCGGTTCTGGAGGGAAGGGTTTCCCTAATTGTATGGGTGCAAAATATTGCACCACATTTATGTTGACAAGCTTGCGAACGCACATCAAAGAACTACTTCGACCGCAAACAATAGTTCTCAGTGGTGGTGCAGGTTGTCATTGACTTCGATATGCGCGTGCTGGACATATTCGTCGGTTACCCAGGAAGCGTGCACGACCAGCGAGTTGTACGGAATTCGCTACGAAATTCGTCTCTCCTGAAACACGTTGAAGAAGGTCATATTCAGAATGCCGAGGTCGTTGTCCTGTCGTGTGGTGTGAGGACCATAGGGTACCTGCTTGGGGAGAACGACTATGCAACATGTTTGTGGGTTGTCGTGTCGTACGGGGGCACGAACCAGACTGGGGACATCGCCTTCTTCGACACACTTCAAAAGACGACGAGGGGGTTGGTGGAGAGGGATTTCAAACGACTGAAGGGGATGTGGAGGCTATTCCTTCGTCGCCACAAGACGAACATAGACAACCTCCCGCAACAGTTTGTGGTCGTTTGCATCATGCACAACCTCCTCCTTAAAGCTGACATCGCTATGGAAGAGGGGTTGTTGATGGAATCCGATGGGAATGGTGATCCCGTTCCAATCGACCTCGGTTTGCAGGACCTCGTCAATTCTATGTCGCAAGTTGGCGCAGTCGAGGCCACCCTTACTCTCTGGGACACTCTCCACGTCAGCATGCAGCAGTGAGGACTTCCGTGGATCTTCTTTACGTGTGTCGGGTTGTGAGGAATCCTTTGCTTTCGGTGTTTGGAAGGGGAGACATGGCCGGTGCAGCCCGCTAGTCAATCCTTCTCCTTTTGAGAAGCACTGGCAATCAATGCTGACAGGCGGTTTAGATTTCTTGTTTTTCGTCCGATGGATTTCTATATTGATTATTGGGGAACTATGATCGTTTGGTTTTTAGTTGCCATGGTATGTCTTGTTCGTGATTCCTTCCTTCCAGTATTGTGTGGAAGGGTGAATCATGGAAATCCTTCTCCTAAACTCTTGTGCATTTCGGATTTGTATTACATGAAGTGTTTGTTATTTGTTCATTTTCGTACGCATTTCATGTTTGCAATGTCAGTGTTCGAAGAACATGCATGCTTATGAATGTCATTCACCCTTTCCCCATGATTGTCCAAAGATTGAAATATATTATGGACCGCAAACATAATATGCACAAGATTTCAGGAGAAGGATTCGTCTTTGAATTTCATTCATGGCCCTCACAATTGCCCATCAAGGTAATAAACATGAGGACTATGAGAGGTTTATTTCGAAAGAAAAAAAAACATGAAAGAGTCGTCACTTTGAAAATGTAAACGAAGGACGACTAACATTCCTTGCAGTACGACCGATAAGAAAAACTTGCGATGTGCTCCCAGGTTTCCTTCCTCATGAGTTTGGTGTCATATAAGCATGAAGTGTCACTCGTGCACTAAAGGTTTTCTCATGCCTATCTTCGTCGATCAAACCTATTCTACGAAACCATCCCAGCAAACTCGACTGGACACGAAACGACGATAAGTAAAAGAAAAAGAAAAAAAAACACTGATTATGGACAAAATTAAAACCACGAAAAAAATTGTATAAGTTACAAATAAGAGTATGGCAACTCCCTGGCAGTGTATGTCAAGCAGAATCCACCCATAAAAAAAAACAGATTGCATGAGCGGCTATCCATTGTCTAGTCGTCCAGATTACAATAACAGCCATTTCGTAAAAATGGACATATTATATTTTTTAAATGAAGTTAAAATTGAGTTTTGGGGTCGAAATCCGGTCCGAAATTTTGGCTCCTGGGGGTCCAGCATTCCTAGAACGCTGGACCCCCTAGATGTATCTAGTCTCAAGCTGCGACCAGATACATCAAAAATTTGGACCAAATTTCGACCCAAAAATTTAATTCTAATTTCGTTTAAAAAATATAATATGTCCGTTTTGACGAAATGGTTGTTCAATGTGAAGTGTTACCACATTCACAAAGATGTGAACATGGTTAACATTTCACCGATAACCCTATAGGGACTACATATTTGCAAAAACTCACTACGTGACAACATTGATTGCCTCTCCCGTCGGCGAAGGGAGGAGGGATTGGCTGTCAGCATCCTTTTGCCTAGCCTTACATGACCTTCACACGCGGTCGGTCCTTGAACCGCCAGCGATACACCATGCTGGACGAAACAGAGAGGGCACCACCGCTACCTTTTTCTCTTTCGTCCAGCGATTCGCTTGCAGCTCTCTCTCTTTCTCTCTCTCGCTCTCTCTCTCTCATTATAGGTGGACACACATTATCAATGCTCTTTTGGTTTGCACTTGGCGAAGTGATGTGCACCATCGCTAGTAGAAACTCTCACCGATCATCTTGATTTTGTTGTGAAGGTTCTTGCGACCCTAGAGGGGCGGGTCGACATGGACCCCATAGTAAGGAGTGGGCTCATGCAAATGATCGTCGAACTCCATTGACACGTTCCAAACGAGAAGGTCAACGATATCGGCTAGGACATCGACACCTCCTTCCCACCGATCGGGGATTGCATTGCCCACCTTCGTCGTAAAATCGACGACCCGACGCAACAAACTATAAGCGGAACCATAGTCGAGCATCAAGTGCAGACACGTGCTACCATTCTCATCGACCTCGTAGTGCCTGACCTCGTGACGCATGACGACCGTGATGAAGTTGAACTACCTTCTGTATTCATTGTCTCGATGGTGTTTCATCTCAAGAAGATGACCGTTCGACCCAAAATCCGCCCTTTGAGGGTGATGACGACGTCCATCGTTTCAAACTGTCGATCCCGCCGTTGCCACCTCCACGTCAGCCACGCGCAGAAGGCACTCCTCCTCCCTACAACACTGGGCATGAGAAGCACGATCATGGGCCCCAGGGATCCATCACGATGGTGAGGTATCCCCACATTCTCATACGAAGTCTGCGTCGACCCCCAAGCGAGAGGAAAAGTCGACGGAGGCGGCTCCTAATGAGTGTCGCACGACAAGGGTTGCTGCCACAGAAGGAGAAGCGAGGAGAACCCCGAGTCAAATTGGTGTTGCTAGGGATATGTCCCACTCGAAAACCCCACCCTTTTATGTTGTACTCACGCCCTGGCTTGAATTGAGAATCTCCCATCGTTGTTCCTTAAGCGCTGACCCCCTCCTTATTATTCAACAACTTCGGTCGATGACGCAGCGCTGCCTGCTTGCCCGCCGGCCACAGATGGATGACAAGAAGGGCCAGCAACGCGAGTAGGAGCAGAGCA